GTTCCATGTGTGTAGTTTCTTTATGAATAAATCACGAATACAACTACATTTGAGTGTTAGCCCCAAAAAAATAAAAAATAGAAAATAAAAATTGTAGTTAGTTTACAAAATTTGAATCTCATTCCTTCAAGAAAACTAGAAATGAATGTTTGTCACATACTATTTTTCAAGAATTTATTGGGACACCATTATTAGTAGCAATTACCTCCCTCGGACCCTTTCCCCTCCACAAATTAAATGCATATGTTTTGACATAGTTGAAGTTAAGATTTTTATCTAAAAAATGGCCAACCAAAAGCTTCCCATTTTTCAATGTATTCTCGAGGTGGGAGATCAACAACAATGTCAGTATTGCTATCAGGTGGAAAATACCTTAGTTTCACAGCAGATCTCTGGTTTGTAGCTACCATCGAGGCCCAGGTCTTCTTCTCCGGCACAACTGGGTTCGCCACTAGGACAGAGTTGGTTGCATCATTACCCTCCCTTTGCTCGCTTTGATTTACTAAGAACCCAGTCCGTTGCCCAACACCTCTTCCACCCCTTTCACCTCATATCCCCTGTTGCAGACCAGTACGTCCACCCATCTGAGGGAAAACATTTCTCACCCCCTGATCTTCTTGATGACTCGAACTTCTTGCTGGAGGGCTCACCCTATCCATGCCCATTTCAGGATCTAAAAGCTTCTGAGACGTTATGTCCTCATATACAATCTCCGATTCATCCAAATTTGAAACCATATTCCTAGCCGTAGCTATAATCAAGCTATCAGGTAAATACCTAAACCGGTTGAGAACAGCTTCCTCACTACCCTCTTTCTCCACAATATCGAACCATCTCGACTTTAATAGGTTTAGGGCAGCCACTGGGATCGAAATTTCCTCCTAAAACAAAGGGGTTAAGTCTTCACGATTCACACCTGAAACGTTGGCTTTTATCACATTGAGTTTCTCTCTAAAAGCTTCCATAGTCTTAGCAAAAGAACTAGGGTTCGTGACTGTCTTTCCAGATTGACCACAACTAATGGGCGATTCACCTTTCATACCCTCGAAACCCTGATCAAACAACTTCATAGAGTACGAGGGTGTTTGGACAATGAAACCCAGATTTTTTTTTAGATTCGTGTTTGGATTGAAGAGTTGGGTTTTTTTTTTTTTTTTGGCACTTAAAATTTTTATTTTTTCGCTATTTTTTTTTTGCCGTATCTTTCATGACAGTAATTGTGTGTCGTGGAAAGTGCAATATTTTAAACGGTTTGCTTTTCGTGCGTCGTGGAAAGTGTAATTTTTAACGGTTGACTTTTTGTGCGCCGTAAAATGTTCAATATTTTTAAAAGTTTGTGTGCGCGTGTCGTGTATAGTGGATGTATTAACGGCATGCCATATACACGTCATAGAAAGTTCATTATGTACAGCTAACATTGCAAGTTGTAAAAAAATCATCGTTTAATGCATTCACAACCAACGCAATAGACAT